CAACAACAACAACGCGTCAACGACGAAGCACCACCATGACCGACAACGCGACAACGATGAGCACGAGCATGACAACGCGTCAACGACGACACATCAATGACCAGGACGAGGACGACGTGTCAACGGCAAGCATGAGTGGTGGGACACCATGTGAGTACCCATCACTCCTCCCTCCATCACTCCACTCCCTCTCCCTCCCTCACTCACTCCCCACCATACCCTCCCTCCCCCTTATATTAGTTCAATACTTTTTGTACATAGTTATTATCAATGCAATATGTATGTTCAATGATCACTTTTGTATGAAATTCTAAGGTCTAAGTTACACAAAGTGGTTAGGTAATAGGTGGAGTGATATGTATTGATTATTCAGGGATTGAACTTGGAATCCATTGGAATCTGTTGGAATTCCACTTGGAATCTGTTGGAATTCCACTTGGAATCCGATGGAATCCACAGGAATCTGAGATTCCTACCATTCTGGTGGATTCTGAATGGAATTCCAACACTCCACCGGATTCTGCCGTAATCCGCCGGAACTCATGTGGGATGGTAAAGTACAGTGAGAGGGAGCAGTGAGAGAATCAGGGACAGGTGTGGCAGCCATCTGAGAGACAGGTGTAGCAGGCATTTGAGAGACAGGGGTAGCAGCAGTCTGGGAGCTTTCAGCACCAGCGGCAACTTGAGAGTTTTGAGGGCTGTCAGTCATCGTGAAGTCAAAGAACAAGCATTGAAAAAATTCGAAAATCTTTACAGAAATTGAGGGCTCTTTTTGCCCCGTCAGAACGATGAACTGAGGACAAGGAGAAGAATGCAGTCTCCTTGTCTAGGATTTGGAGACATGCACAAGTGTTTGTACTTATGAGTACAAACACGAGATTTCATTCTGACGCGTTACTGTTATCTTATCCAATAATGAGCTTGCACTCGTTCCTTGTGCTTGCTCATCGCGGAACATATCACCTGCTTACAACTACGCCAATGAATTATGACATGCTCTTGACATGCACCTACTAAGTTCATAC